AGGTACTAAAGAACTATATATATATATATGTATACATACATACATGTGTGTATGTATGTATGTATATATATATATATATATATTCGCACGAAGACATGCCCACATGCAACATATACATCTATATACATATATATATATATATGTACATAGATATGTAGTTTTTGTATTGTGTATACGTATATTTGCACACGCACACACAGACCACATGCAGTTTCAATAATGTATGTGTATGTATGCCTGTGTATGCATATTTCACAAACATATATATATATATATACACACGTATATATATATATATATATATTTACATATACTCTATATATATGTCTATACAACTAGCATGCATGCCTTTTGCATGTGTGCATTTGTCATACGTTTGTATGACTTGTATGTCTATCAATACAACGAACTCACATAGACACACATGCGAACACATCTACACATATATGTATACATACATGTGGACATACCTAGGTGCGTGCATACATGCGTACATACATACATCCATGTATGCATGCATGCGCGCATACGTACACATACATATATACATATACACTTATATGCATTGTATACATGTATACATACACATATAAACTCATATACACACACATATATATATATATATATATATACATAGACATATTCAAGCAGACCTACATACATGTATAAAAGAGAAGTACACTGATACGCAAATTCACACATGCTTATATGTACATAGTCAGACATGCATTGTTACTTGTTCTTGATGGGTATGTAGTCATCCTCCCGAGGAGATTCTGCCCCACCTGGACCTGACGGGAGGCGAGAAAGGGAAGGCGCATTCTGCTTCAAAAGCTATTGCATGGGTTTTCCAGGAATCTTGCTTGGGTATGTTCAACGAAGAAGTTTCTGATTCGCGTCCGTGCCAACACGTGCTGGGTTGCAAGGCTGCTAAGCTTGATCGAGGGATTAAGTGTGTTCATCAATAGCCCGTACACACATATATACACAAAGATAGCTAGACTCGCTAGACCCTTCATAGTATATAAACCCTGCAACCATATATATATATATATATATATATACCCTCTTACATAAGCTTTGCCCCTTGCAAGTGCCGGCACAGGAGCGCGGGACATCCAGGCGTGTCCTGGAGAGTGCTGCCAGGGCAGGTGGAGGTGAAGCAGAAGAGGAGCCTGTGCGGAGGAGGACAGAAAGGAACAAAACGGGCAGCAGAAGCAGTGGTAGTGGCCGTCATGCCCCGATGAACTTGGAAGTGGAGGATTTGGAAAAGGAGGAAGAAGAGGAGATCCCCAAGGTCCGTGTCAAGAAGGCCCCCCCGAAGAAGGCAGCGACAGAGGAAGAGGAGGAAGAGGAAGAGGAGATCCCCAAGGCCCGTGGCAAGAAGGCGTCCAGGAAGAGGCCAGTGCCAGAGGAAGAGTCAGAGGAGGAAGAGGAAGAGGAGATCCCGAAGGGCAAGAAGGTCCCTCAGAAGAAGGCAGCGACAGAGGAGGAAGAGAAGGAAGAGGAAGAGGAGATCCCCAAGGCCCGTGTCAAGAAGGCCCCCCCGAAGA